AATAATCGTTGATACGACAATTTACAAAACTTCCTTTTAATACGATAAATATTTCGAATGAAATCAAAAGATATATGAATAAATACGATCTTTAATTTCTTTTTTGTTTTGTTTTGTTTCTCTCTTTTTTTTTTTTGTTTTTTTTTTGTTTTTTTTTTTTTCGTATGAATTATACTCATTGTATCTGATACTAATCACGGTACTTTTCGTTGGAGTTTTTTTATCTTGAAAAAATGCAACAAAGGGACGACGTGCGGTCCATTAAAATGCGTTCTTGTCGTTGAGAATCGTGATTCGGTCCCGTAATTTCCCGTAAATTCTCGCTCGAATGCTCTACATGTTCATACATACTTACATACGTATCTACATATGATACATACATATGTACATAAAATATATATATATATATATGTATAGATTGTAACATGAAATGGCTCAGTAGGTTTCAGTGTTTGCATCGCCATGGAAAATTTGAAATTCATGGTCCGCTCTGCTCGTTGCTACGTTACTGGAGTGGACTCTTCACGACGTCATTGTTACTTGTCCTCATTTATACCTTTTTTCTCTTTTTTTTTTTTTCACAGGAAAAAGAGAGACGAGAGAGAGAGAGAGAGAGAGAGAGAGAGAGAGAGAGAGAGAGAGAGAGAGAGACCATACAATTATGCAATATTCATATCCTTTAACAGTATTCTTCGTATAAAGGAAAAAGAAATCAAAAAAGACACTTAGAAATAATTTTATATGGATGTAAGTCAGAGTGAAAAGCTTTTTTGGTCTTTAATAATATCGCTTTGTAATTTTGCATTATTGATTATGATACGTATGTATATTTCTATATACACAAACACACACACACATATATATATATATATATATATTTATTTATTTATTTTTTTTTAATATTATATCATTTCATCGTTTAAAAATTTATATGAAGCTCTCGTAGAAAATTAATAATTTGTGAAAAGTTCAATCCTAAAGTTTTTCATATTTTTTAAGTATAAATTATATAGTTAGGATATATATATGTGTGTGTGTGTGTATTTGCGTGTGTATAATTTGATTTGTATTAGTATATGTAATATAATTATTAATATAATTGTATTATAATATATATATATATATATATATATATTTAGTTTAGTATAATATTATATTAATAAATATATTATTTATAATAATAGATATCAATATAATTTAATTTATCTGTCAAATTAGTATAGTATAATGGTATAACATAATTATATTAAAGATTATATTATTCATACGTTAACATTATTTAAATATTAATTTAATATTAATTTTATTAAAATAACTTTCTTTTTTTATAGGTTGTCAAAAAAATATACCAAACATTATTTTCATTAATTTATCATAGGACAATAAAATAAATTCAAATTAATAAATAATAAATAATTTGTTCAAATTTAAAGATACGATAAAATTAGATCAATAGTTTTATTGTTAAATATCATTTTATTAATGTTTAAAACAAATTAGATTTGAAAATAATTGATTTATTTGTTTTCATATTAAAAAAAAAAGAAAAAAAAAAACAAAAACATTCTCAGGCATTTAACAAAATTCATATCAATGAATTAATTTTAGCGATAAAATAATTTCGTCTCGTTTCGTAATATTGTAATTAATTAAGACAATTATTTAATTTTGGAGATATTTGAAAAAAAAAAAAAGACCGAAAAGAAAATCAGCTAAAATTAATGACGTACATATATCAAACACTATGTACAGATACATAGATCTGTAAAAAAAAAATTGTATACTAAAAGAGTACATAAAATGAGAGTATACCATGTAACAATAATTTTTATGAATTTTTATTATTTTTCATCTTTTTTTTATTTATTCTTTTTTTTTTTTTTTGCATTCTCTTTATCTTTATTTTTTGTTTTCACTTTTGTCGATTGAAGAACGAAGAGCATTTCATATGAATGTAGTATCTTCATAGAGAGCCTTTTTTCAAACGGTATCTTTTTTTTTTATTTCTTTCTTTGTCTTTTTTTTTTTCTTTTTTTATTATTATTATTATTATTATTATTATTTTTCTTTTTTATTTCTAGTAAATCCCGAGAATAGGATGAATGGAAAGAAATACCAAACAAAGGAATTTTCTTCTGTGAAATACGTACTTCTTTCATACATATTCCTTATATTTTTCTTATCTCTTTTAGTGTCGCACTTTCGAATATCACGCGATTCACATTTATATTTGTATATGTCTGCTGTTCATGTACATAGTTATAATATATATATATATATATATGTAAAAATGTGTGTGTGTGTGTGAAAATACACACGTCTATCGGGAGGAATAATTTATTTGATTTTTTCTTTATGACAAAAATAATAATGATTTGTTATTAATACATATAACTTTTATATACTTAATATATTTTATATATATATATATTTCTTTTTTATAGTATATACATATATACTTTAGTATATATTTTAATATACTCCAAAATAGTTACTTTATTTACTTTATAATAGTCTGTTTATTAATATATATTTTTTAATATGCTGAAATGATATTTAACTTCATAAATCAATACATATTAAAGAATTTACTTTATAAATCAATGAAATCATCAATTTTTTTCTTTTTTTTGTATCCGTTCACAGTTAAAAAAGAGAAAAAAAAAAGAAGAAAAAGAAAAATTTATTTAGTTTAGGAATTAGAAAGAATTTGAATCAATCGTTATAATGTTTGTTTTGCCGATCCTTTTGAGATTCATGTACAATTAATCATTTGCCATGATTTTATTCATGGTGGAACTTTGATCGAATCGTAAATATTGTTTATCGCTTGGGCTTTATCGTGCCGGTGGCCGTCACTAAATAAGGACATGATCTCTAATAATTGGAAGAACATTCTAATCGATTTTATGTATCTCTAATAATAACAATAACAATCCATTATAATTATTAGAGTAAATATTTTTTTTTTTTTCAAGAAAAAAATAAAAACATATATATATATACACATATATATCAATAAATAATCGAATAAATATATATATTTTTGTATATTATATTTATTATATTTAATTAAAAATTTTATATTTAAATAATACGAATATAGTATAAGTATATATAAAACAGATTAATAAAAGTATATATATATATATATATATATGATTTTTTTATATATATATATATGTATATATTATCTATATAAAATGGATTGTTAAAAAATTTATGTTCGATTGTTATGTTTATATTCAATATTTCATATATGTACTTATTACATATAAACTTCATACTTTATCTGTCACCCATTAAATAATACAAAAGGATGGTTGGCAGTCTGTTAGATTCGATTTATGTTCGATCAAAGTTTCAAAGTAATTAGAATCGTGGCAGCAATTAATTAAATATCATCGATTTCTCCTGACAAGGACAGTGAATTGAAACAAGAGAGAAATATATACATACATGCATGCATATATGCATACATATACATATATATATATGTATATATATATATGTATAGAAAGAAAGAGAGAGAGAGGAGGGGGAGAGAGAGAGGGTAAATTAGATTTTACATATATGTACATATATGTACATATATATATATATATATATATATATATATATATATATATGTGTATGTTAATCCAAGTGTATGGAACCTGTTGCATAGCTTTTTGAATTGTGTACACTGACTATAAAGAGGTATTAATATATAGATTTTTTTTTACTCTTTTGTTTTTTATTTTTTACTTTTTTTTCTTCTCATATTAAATTACCTTTGTTACAAACTTTTAACAAATAACAGCAATTAAAAATATAAAGTATGCACATATGTATTTTATAATGTCATTGTACTTCTTTTTTTGCTTTTTTCTCTCTCTCTCTCTCTCTCTCTCTTTCTCTCTCATTATTAACTTGTATAGAGTAGTTACGTGTATAAATTTTTTAAAATTTTGTTCATAATTGCAGAATATTCTACGTATTTTCTTTTTTCGTAAGAGTAAAAAGTGTCGTTTGTATATTAAAAAAAACGTGGATGGACATTTTTTTTAAAATCATTTTAAACATTGAAGGCCATCCAATTGTTGAAATTTAATCACTCAAGGAGATATAAGGGACACAAATTGTAATAAATTTATTTGTCTTATATCTTAACTATTGCTATGTTATTTGTAATTATTGTAAAAATATAAATAAATTTTCATAATTTTTATATTGCAATATAGTATTAGTTTCTTTTGATAATGACGATAACGATAATAATATTCTATTTCAATATAATATTAAATAATAATTAGAACTACTTATCAAATTTTTTTTTCTTGTTTCTAAAATAAAATAAAAATATATATATATCTTATTATATTTATATTTATACGTATGTTTTGTATGCTTCTGGGTTGCTTTTATATATGCAATGAAATTTCACTTGTGATAACATTAACATAATTTCTTTTTTTTTTTTTTTTAAGAGTTAAACATTTATATACGTCGAAATATTAATAAGAATTTTCATCGTACACATAATTATATTGAATGAATCTTCATTCATATTGATACAAATAATTATTTGATTTCGATATATATATATATATATATATATATAAAATTAAAATTATAATAAAATTTTTCCCGTGATAACATTGACGTCATTTTTTGTTTTGATTTCATAATAACTTCGAGGAATTAAAAATAAATCATCGATATTATAGTAAGAATATTATCGTAAACTTAATCGTATTGTAAGATCTATAGATCTTTTCATTCATATTTACAATGCAAATAGTTAATTGAGTTAATTTGATTGAGATTAATTGTTTTCGAAAAATCAAATGTTTTATTTTACATTCAAATCCCTTTTTTTTCTTTTCTTTCATTTTTCTTTTCATCTTTTATATATATTCTTTTTTCTTTCTTTCTCTTTTCATTCTCAAGTTATTGATAATAATTTCGGATTAAAAGATAGATAAGAAAGGAGATAAAAAAGAAAAATGTATTCTTACCTTCGTACGGAAAAACGACGATTTGATCGGTTTTACCATAGAAACTCTCAGCCGATTTTTCCGGTTCAAGTGGCGCGCCGGGTCGAAGTTCGAGCACGTTGCCGTTTATCAAAGGCTTCGGCAAGGTCGACAGCGATATCGACACATTCGGAGGCTTTGAGAGCCTCAATTTCTTTAGGATCTGTTGCTTAACGTACTCAACCCTCAATTCAGTTAGTATAGGATTTTGATCGTTGACAACGACCTTGTTTTGATTACATTCGACACATTCCTTCTCATCCACCGTACTGGTAGTCGATGTTGGGAATTGCGAATGATAAGATCTTCGTACTGTCATTAAGGGATCGATGACCTTTGGCCAGGTAGTATCGGCCGAGAACTTAGGAATATAAAGTAGAATGAGTATGGGAATTGTAAACATAATGACCAACTGCATCTTTTCCTTTGTTTGTTTTTCTTCTTTCTATTATCTCTTTCTCCTTTCTCTCTTTCTTTTTCTCTTTTTATCTCTTTCTCTATCTCTATTTCTTTCTCTCTTTTTCTCTCTGTCTGTCACTCTTTCTGTTAGATCTTCTCTGGATGGTTAAACGTCAGTTGGATCAACTGATTTTAATCACACATACACACACACACCTCTCTCTCTCTCTCTCTCTCTCTCTCTTTTTCTCTCTCTCTCTCTTTCTTCTCATGAATTCAAAGATCAAGAAGGATAACGACCTGGCATTGTCGAAAAACACCTTCTTTTATTGATTTCGATATGATCTCGATTATACATCGATCTAGATCAATAAATTACTTGAACATATCGATAATTAATTTATATATTCTTTCATATAAAAAGATCTTAGAACGATGTTCTGCGATCGTAGAAAATGAATTATAAACGGATATTGACGTTGGATTTGATAACGACGTATTACGATATCAATCGAGAGAATACTCGTTGGATTGAATTTCTTTTTTTTTTCTTTTTTTTTTTTTTTTTTTTTTTTTAAATTAAATAAAATTTTCTTTTTGAATTTTTTTTTGCTTCGTTCGTTTGTCCTTCGTTTCTTTACTTTTATGATTTTCTTTTATTTATCGACGTAATGTTTTAAGACGAACGAATGAGCTTCGAAGAAACAAAATTGCACGCACCAACAACTTTCGCGAATGTTCCGGGTAAAGCGTTCACACCGAGACTGGAGGTGAATCTTTACGATGGACCCAGTGATGTAGTTGACTCGACAGTCATGTGAACTTTGCCCTCCATCAGTCACAGCCAATGCGGATTGGACGTAGACGGATAGTGGTATTTGATATCAGCGAAAGCAAGCACGCGCCGCGAACATGCCGCCACTGAAATTCCGTGTGTTGTCTCTTCACTAATACGATTAACGAGAGATGCTGGTTCCCTTTTCAGAATTGGTCAGAAGTCACGTTTTTTCTTTGGGGGTCACTATACCCGATTTGCCAAGAAATCTTAGGGTTATTTTAATTATTTTCCATTATTTCGTCATATATATATATATATATATATTTATTTATTCGTCATATATCTTTTTAATAAATCTTAGATATTTTCTATCCGAAGTTTTTTTCTTCTATAGATAAAGTTTTTTGTTTAATTTTTTTTTTTTTTTTCCCTTTTTATCGTTTCTCGGGATTCGTCAAGAATATATATATTTGGTCACTTTGTATATTCTCGTCTTACTTTTTTTTTTGTTGGACTTGCGCTTAATTACAATTTTGCTTATTTCTGAGTGAGTAAAGGGGGGAAAGAAAAAACTAGAAAAAAAAAGAGATCAGATTACTTAGCAGCGTTTATATAGTTCTTTCTTTTATTCTTTTTTAATTTTTATACTTTTAATTTTTCATTTAGATATTCGCTGTTTGTGATTGGTTTAAGAAGATAAAAGGGGTAGCTTTCAATTGCCTCGTTTGTAGTGTTTTTGTTTTTATTTATTCATTTATTTTTTTAATTTTTTTTTTTTTTTTAATTCCCCCAGATTCATTTATCTTTAACTTTAATTGTTCGTGATTGGTTAAAAAAAAAAAAAAAAAACAAACAAACAAAGCAAAAATATAATTATATACATATATATATTTATATAATTTTTAAATTGTTTCTTTAATCGTTAACAATGGCTTACAATTATCATTCGTTTCTTTTTTATTTCTTTTATTTTTCTTATTCTCGAATATTTTTAAGATTTCCTAAATCAGTAGAAAAACATTTTTTTTCAGGAAAACAACGTAACAATACGTTA